ATAAATAAGAGAAACAAACAAATGTGACTCCAGAGTGATTCATAACGATTTTACATAGACGATCTTTGGACGCTTTCAAAATGGTGACAAAAACATCCACGTGACTCTGGGGTTTTTCTTTTACGACAAATTTGTTCTTGTTTATTTAATTATACATGTCAGCCTCTTTCAAAAACCAATTACCTCATATAAAGTTGTCAAAATTTATTCGCCATATTTAATTCTAAATTACAAACATCAAGCTACGTAGCGATGCCAGGTCACGTGATGCTTAGCGTTTTTTTTATCAAGGCTCTTGAAAAACGAACAGAAATAATTTCAATTTAAATATTAACTAACCTTTATCAAAATATTATGAATGAATTTAGTTTATATATAAACGTTGTTTTCTGTATTTTTGCCCTTACAAATGTTTAGGTCCAAATTACATAAATTATGTCCATATCTCTGCGCACCCCCGTTGTTTAGTACTAATGGTACAGTCCCAGCTGTCTACTTGAAATCCTACCAAGGACAGTTTATTTATCAGCGTGTTGTTTGCTTGGTTCAGCCCTCTTTTTGAAAACTATTTCAAACATGCTTTGCAGAGTTGGTCAGATACGCAGGTAAGGCAGGTGTCAGCCTAGTATTGAAAAGATTGAACGGTTTTTTAAGCGCACATAGAATGAAGACCCTTGCGTGGTCCTGTTGAACAAAACCTTGATCTGTGTTAACAGCTAGCAGCTAGCTAACAGCAGCTAGGTTGCTAACTTAGTTTAGTAGCTCAACTACTTTAGCTAGTGACGCACCAAAGGGGTTTGCATTTATACATTTATGCAATACGTTTGCCTGCATTTTTGAGCTGAAAATGCGCAATTTACACAACATAAAACACAAAGTCACTGTCCAAGCTGTCCCACAGAGTACCAGATTAGCTGGAAGCCAACGCCAGACGCTTGGAGACATGTTGAATTTTTATTTAGGTGTACAATTTAGCCTTTTAAAAAATCCTTAATTGTTCACAGTTCCTTGTTTTATGTATTTATTTTTTTAATTGTTATTTTCCAGGTGTGCAGCCAGCCTCAACCAAAGCATAAATCAGATAGCTGCATCAAGGCAGAAGCACACGCTTCCTGACCTGACTTATGACTATGGAGCCCTGGAGCCTCACATATGTGCAGAGATCATGCAGCTGCACCACAGCAAGCATCACGCCACATATGTCAACAATCTCAATGTCGCCGAGGAGAAATATCAGGAGGCTCTTGCAAAAGGTACTCAAAGTAGTCTCCGTTGTTGGGGACAAAGTCTCTTTTCAGTTTATCTGTTAATTGATTTTTCAGCAATCTGTCTTTTATTTAAAGTGTATCTTACCCCCCCTGTGAAAAGATAACTCCGCCCCTAGGCGAAATTTGAAAAATGCATCAAAGTGGGTAGGGG